CGTCTCGATTAGTGAAGGCCTCCATCCTTGCCAGTTGGATCGCTCCCAGCGAGTCGGAGTGGACCGAGATACTGTAGTTGATGTCCTTGTGGATGATGTAGGCGATCGCCCAGATGAGCGCTGTGATCTCGCTGGATGTCGAGGTGGTCTCATTGTCCGTGAGGTTTTGGATCTCTACGAGGGTGGAGTCGCGGTGCTTGCCGACTATTGCGCCTTGAAAAGAGAACCCTTCTTCGTCTTCTCCGACGAGTACAACTGACCATCCATCTTGACCATGTTGGCGTGGATGTTTGGAGCCGTCTGTGTATAAATGCAGGCGAGAATCTCGTAGGAGCTGTCGGTATGGAAATGTGCGCACCATGTACTCTGAAACCTCGTTGTGGCATCGGTCGGTGAGGTCGAAGGTAAGCCTGGGAGCCTGAAGTCGTCGAAGGTGCTGGAGTAAGGGCTCCTGTTCGTCGAAGTCGATGTGGTAGAGGATATTGTCGGTCTGCTGGTCGCGGGTGTGAACCTCGCGGGAGAAACGAACATGCCGTACTTCCTCGTGGCTCTCCGCATTCGGCAGGTCTCTTTGTCCGTGTGGGATCTGGGTAGCGTCAAGGGAATCCAAAATAGGAGGTTGTGGCCGGCAAGAAGTTGATGTACATGGCCGGCTCGGTGAATCACAAAATTGTCGGTCTCGATCGCCATCATGGCCAAAATGGCTAGTACGTCGATGCCTTGTTGGTGGCTCTTGTCGTTCTTGCCCCAAACGACCGCAACCACTGGAGGTGTGCCCCCCCGTGTCGTGCTCACAAAGCGATGCTTCCTCTCGAGGCGTAGGCGGTGGCGTCGTCATCGTCGGGATCGACCGTGACTGGGCTTCCGCTGGTGGAGGATGTGAGTCGACATGCTGCCGTCGGGGTCGGGTGACGGTAGTTGGTCGGTCCGCTAGCGTATGTGGTGCTCGTGTGTTGTCTGTGTGAGACAGCCTTCTCGCACTCCCCAAGCGAGAGGTAGAGGCCGAGGGGATGGTCCACGGTCCACTACTAGGCTGTCGCATGTTGGGCGGTGTGTGGATTTCCCACATATCGCCATGCTCGTAAGAATCTGGAGGTGCGCTCTCCCCAACGCGCATACCGCCATTGGCTGATGAGTGGGTAGGTGAAACTTGTGAAGTGTCGTATGGTGGATCGGAGCTCACCAGGGGCTCAAATAGTCGGCGCCTGACGTCGTCGGCGTAACCACTGCAGGAGTCGGAAGTGCCGTCGTTGCACAGGCAGTCTTCTGGTATGATGCTGGGCCGCTCCCCCTGGGCCAGTTGCCCCCCAGGGGGTGAGGGCCTCGTTAGTTTTTTGGTGAGTTGACCGCAGGGGCTTCCTCGTCATTGAGGAAGGTTGGCACTCGGTCTCCTGGATCTGCGAAGCCGTCTCCGATGTCGCAGATACGGACTTTCTTGGGCTTGGCCGCTCGTCTAGATGATCCGTTTTTTCGGAGAGCTGTGCGGGGCGGAGGAGCAGATGTGGCGCGGTCGGGCGTGGCGAGGTGGAAGCGAGGTGGTGGTTGGATTGGCTGCATCGGTGCGGTAGGAGATATGTCGGCTAGTGGAATGCGCACTGGGGTGGAAGGTGGTGGTACATCGTCGTCGGAGGTGATGTCAATGAGGAGAGTAGTGGATGGGTGGTTGTGCTGAGTTGAGTTTGTCCTTCTGGTGCGTGGTGGTGGCGCTGAGCTGGGTCGGTCATTTTGCGGGTCGGGTGGGTGGAAGCCGATGGGCGTATGCTGCTCGGTGGGGATCGGCGTAAGCGAGGCGGGGGTGGGTAAAGGCGTAGGGACAGGGAAGGGATATGCGTCACTCGCAACAGGGGTTGGGCTGCAAAGGTCGTCGTCGTCGGCTGGGATTGGGGTATGCACACTGGCGTCGTCGGCGTCGTGGCATGGGCGTCTCGCAGTGGGAGTGGCGGTTGGCATCGCAGGTGGGAATCGAAATCTGGCGGGGCATTCCTTCACAACGTGGCTGGGAATCGAAATCTGGCGGGGCATTCCTTCACAACGTGGTGGTGGTGTGCTGCTGCGCTGTCCGCTGTTGCTGGGCTGTCCTCCGCTGCTGCTGCCGCGGTTTCTGTGGTATAGTTGATCGCCCGAGTCATCAGAGGAAGACGGTGGGGTCAGCAGGTGGAGTGCCGCTTGAACTTGTTTGTCGATCTGTGCTTGTTCAGCATCTGCTTGGGCTTGCAGTCGTGCTTCTTCCTCGTCTCGTTCTTGAAGTTGTGTGTCGAGCTCCCTGAGGATATCCACGTCGATGCTGGTGCCGTACTCGTGGGCCTGCTGTAGTTCGCAGTGCAGTCGCTCTCGTTCCTGTCTGTGTTGCTGAAGATGCTCCTGTAGTTGGAGTTGGTGCTTCTCCTGGAGTTCGTTCTCGAAGCGCTGCATGTCACGGGAAGTGCCTCGAAGCCTGTCGATCTCGCTGTTGTACTCGCTCTGGGCTGTCAAGGTGCGGTACTTCTGAGCCTGGATCTGTCCGAACTCCTCCAAGAGTAGTTCCTTAGCATCCTGAAGCTGGTTCTGTTCGAGCCTCGCGATGTTGCTGATGTCCTGCTGTGCCTGAGCTTTCTCGGAGAGAAGACGTTGCTGTTGTTCGTGGCAGCGTTGTTGATGTTGTTGGACCATGATCTCGGCGTTCTCGTGTAGCTGATGTCTGAAAGTCTCTTCCTCTTGCTTCCTCTGAATGATGAAGGTGGCGAGGTGCGCTGACTCTTCCTCCTTGAGCTGGTAGCGCAGGTGGGCCTCCTTCTGCTGGTAGTGAGCAACGTTCTCCGTGATGGACTCGCGAGCCTCTTGTCGGAGCCGCTCTTCGCGCTGTCGGAAGGCTTGGATCTCGTCATAGTACGACTGTCTCTGTTGGAGTTGTGCTTTCTGGAATTGTTCCTGGCAATGTTGTAGGTGCTGCGAGAGCTCGTGGATCTGCTCGGTCTGCAGTTGACGTTGTGCTTCGTGTTGATCTGATTCGGCACGTTCATGATGGAGAAACGCCAGATGGTGTTGGTGTATTCCGTGGTTACGCTGTTGCTCGTCCACTCTCCTAGTCAGCACGTCAATGAGTTTCCGCAGGTCGCTGTTGTCGTTGGTGGTCGAAGCATGCGCTGGCTCATATACCGGTTGTCGGACTGGTGTTCGCTGTCTTCTCTCGGGATGTGGTGTCTTGCCCCTGATGCGTTGTCGCACGTCATCTTCACCATCCCCGTCACAGCTGTCTTCGTAAAGTTCGGCGTGTTCTCGATACTGCTTGGCCTCGGAGATGAGTGCCTTGAGGGATGCAATCTCGCCCTTGATTTCGTCGTGCTCCTTATTGAGGTCTTTGAGCTGGCTCTCGACGGTCTGCTGTCTCTGTATCCGTGACTCCACTTGGGATCTGTATTGTGCAATGCGCGCCGTCGGAGTGTCCAGCATGTGTATCATGGTCTTGACTATGGCTAGCTCCTCGATCAAGCGGGTCGGGTCGACTTGGGCTTGCCATGCTCCTTGGACTTGGTCGGCGAGACGTGCCATCCGCGCCACCTTGGTGGCGTGCCAAACCCGACGTATGTCTGGGTCGTCGGGAGGAAGAGAAAAGCTTTCGTGTCCCTTGGCGTCCGAGAGCAGGGCGGGCATTACCTTTTCTGTGACCTCCAACTGAAGTTTCGTCAGCTTTGGTAACTGTCGGTGGTCGTTGGTGGCGTCTTCGGGGGCCTGGTGGCGTCTTCTTGAGTGGGCCCGCTTCGTTCTCGGCGTCGTGTAGTCGTACTTGTACTGCTGCTGATGCTGGGCGTCATTGTGCTGCTGTCGCTCCTCGTCGTGGTGGGAGGTGTGGTGGTGCTGGTTGTGCTGGTGCTGGTGCCGTGGCTGCTGTTGTCCATGCCCTCCATGGTGTCGGCGGTACGAGGATCCAGCTGCTGGTGTACCTGACCTCCATGGCCACGGCTTGGCACCCACTGGATGGCCGTGAGACTTCGTGTTGATCGCCATCTCGCTGGTCTCGAAGTCCTGCAGCTCGTTCTTCTGGTTGCACTGGTGCTGCTGCGCGGAATGGTGGCTGGCCAGGATGTCGGCCGCCCTCACGACGCGCAGGAGGGCCCGCGCCGACGCCCGGCGCTCCCTCTGCCGCCTGTGCCAGGCGGGCTCGGGCGTCGGGCCTCTCCTGGGCGCGCCGAGGGCGCGCAGCAGCCGCCAGGCGGGGGGGCCAGGGCGCGGCAGCGGCGGCGGCAATCGCCGATCCGCGGCGCGCTGAGCCCGGCCTCGCGATCGGCCTTCTGCGGGATCGATCGGGCGGCAGGCGCCGATCGACCCTGACCGAGCGATCGGTCGCAGGCCCAGATCGCCAGAGGCCAAATGGGCTTTGTGCGGGGGGCTCCTCCTCCTCCTCCTTCTACTCCTCCTTCTCGCCCCATCCCCTCCTTGTCCTCCTTGTCACCGTCCTGTCCTTCCTCCTCCCCATCCTTGTCCTCCTCCTCCTCCTCCTCCTCCTGGAGCCTGCCCTTCCCGCTGGTCCTTGTCCCCCTCCCGTCCTCCTCGTGCCCAGACGCGGAGGCGCGGGCGATCGAGACGAGCGAATGGATAGGAGACTTTCTGGGAGCTGAACACAGGGGGGGGTGGTCGTGCAGTATGGCTGGGGTGCGCGAGCGCGCATGAGGTCTTTGGTGCTAAAGCCGCAACGCTCGCCCGCATGCTCTACCCGAGGGATTGTTCAGGCTACAAGTAGCTCTCCTCCACCTAGCAATGTCACCCATCAACCTCGTCCTCATCATGGCCACCATCATCGCCACGGCCCTGTCTTTTTCGTTCCTTTGTTTCTGCTAGTCATGGTCCACATCGCCGTCGTTCTTTTACTACAACTTTCCTTTCTTCCTCCTCATCCTGCTAATCTATCGCTTTACGACTACTGGCACGGTCATGCCATTCTGTACAGGAGCAGCGTTTGCTAAGGCACCTGCTGAACGCAGCGAAATATGCTGGCGTGGGAGGGCAGTGGGACGCCCGTCCGCCTTGACATGATCATCTTCAGCTGGTCGGTCATGGCGCCCAAGAGTTTAGCTTTCTGGGAGTCTACTTCATCCTGGCGGGTGGCTCTCGGGACACGGTGTGCATGATGAGAGCGCCAGCGTTCCAACCCCTCAGCACGTCGAAACCTCGTGACGTGACTCTGCAACTGTGCCTCTTCTGGGAGTACCTACGCGCGCGCGCAACTTGTCTTCTCGCCTGTGAGCATGCTTGCCCTGCGCACACGTCGTGCGCCAACGCCATGCGCACTCAGATGTGACAAGAGCCACCGCAAACTTGCACGGATCGATCGGGCAACACTAGCCTTTGAACCCCAGAACACGGCGGTCCTTCTTCCGCTTGGAGGCAATCATCCTCGCTTGCTCGTCTGTGTCGCACACCAAGACCCGGTTCTCAGCTGGCCTCCAAGCGGCGCGCAGACCGGAGGAATACAACGGATCCGTTGCGAAGTCAGCACGCGCGTGCACACACACACACACACACACACACGATTTTCCTGCAGACCAGTCAGCGGCAGAAACAAAAAGGGGGCGCCATTATTACTTATGTGCTTTCATTTGAAGACGCGACGCGCGCACACACACACACATACACGCACACACTTTGAAGTCAGCGGCCCAGAGGGTCTTCAAGCGCGGGCAGCACATGGAAGTGCTAATTGCAATCGAGCGCGCATGCACACACACGCACACACGCACACACATACACGCACACACACACACACACATACTTTTCGGTCGTCGGCGGGCACGCGACTCGCCATGCCGTTGGAAGTCACGCGGGCGAGCGGGCGCTCGCCGGCAAAACAGAAAAATCGCCGGGCCTCACGGGGCGGTGGCGGGGCAGCGGCCGCGGGCAAGCGGCGGGCAAGGGGCAGCGGCCGCCAGTGCGGCAGGGGGGGGAGGGGGCGGGCGCCAGGCGAGCGCCTGCGGGGCAGCAGGAGCAACGGGCGGAGGACGGCCGGGGCGGCGCGCGAGGTAGGAACCAGCCAGAGTCAGGCGGGCGAGGAAAGACGCCCGAGGCGGGGCGCCTGGGACGAGACGGGGGGCCCGGAGGCAGGGGCAGCAAGAGCGGCCGCGGCGGCCAGCAGGGCGGAGGAGAACGTCGCCAGAGCAGAGCTGGGGCGGGAGGCAAAAAACAAACAAAAGCCCGCGCCAGCCCGCGCGGCGAGACCGCGGTGCGTCAAGCGAGGAGAGGGGCGGACGGCGACGGGCGATCAGAGCAGAGGGCGCACCCTGGTGAGCAGCCAGTGCGAGGCACCCATCGAATGCCGATGCCGTGAGGCACCGAGAAGGGGGAGGGTGGCCCGCCTTGGCGATCAGCACTGAGGGCCCGCCCTGGCGGTCAGCAGCTGGAGGCGGCGCCAAGGCGCGAGAGGGTGTAGCCGGCGCCCACACGGTGTGCCGGCGGCAGGCGCGGCGCCCGCAAGGGATGGCGGAGCGAGGAGGGCCCCGCAGCACGAGGTGATGCCCGATGCGATCAGCACGGAGAGCCCGCCCACCCTGGTGATCAGCAACCGGAGGGCCGCGCCCCGCGGTCGATTGGCGAGAGCAAGGCGCGCCCAGTTGGAGGGCGACCTGGGGATGGCGACCGCGACCAAGGCGAAACCCAGTAGCTGCAGCGAGGACCCGCCGGAGTGAAGTGACGGGCCACATGGCAGGGCGGGAGCGGGGATGGCGGGGGGAGGCGGGGCCGAGAGCGGGCAATACCGCGCCCGAGCCACCCGTGCTGAATCCCGAGGGCGGGATGTCGGCCGCTGGCCGAGGGGCAGAAGGGCGCACCACCAAAGAACGGCGCGCCAGGGCCCAGGCGGGGAAGCCAGCGGCGGATCAACGTGGCGGCGGCAGCGAGCCGCCAAAGTTCAAAAGAGAGAGCGCGGCAGACGGCGAAGAGACGTGCCGAGCATAGCTGCCCACAGCACTCAGCACACAGCGTGCTGACACGGAGCTCAGCACGCAGACTGAACACGCAGGCTTGGCGCGACTGCGTTCGCCCGCACGTGGGCCAACGCGTGCCGAGCCAGCGCGCAACGTGTTAACACGGACGTCTTGAACACGGTACGTGTTGCGTTGCAACACGGGCGTATCAGGGCAACTACGGTGCCGCGTGGCGGCGAGCCCCGCTAGAACAAGAAGGACTGGGGGCGGGCGGCCCGCAAGACGAGCCGGGATGAGGCTGCCCGCCGCGGGCGGCGGAGCGGCCTGGCTGGGCAGCCCAGCGAGGGCGGGGGGTGGGCGAGAGGGCGTCGGGGCCACGGGCGGGCAAAACCTCTCGGGGATCTACGGACCCGGGTCCGTCCAAACCGGGTCAGTCAGGCCTTGCGGGATCCTGCAAAATCCTGCAGGATCCCGCAGGCCCGGGTCAATGCGCGCCCCTGGCTCTGCTGCAAGATCCTGCAAGATCTGGCGCTTTGGCTGCCCTCCCGTTTGCATGGACCCCCGCCTCTTGAGCCCCGAACATCGCCCGGGTCGCCCGAGACGGTCCCAACGGAAGCGAAATTGATCGGGGATCTCACTCACCACGTGGCGCCTGCAAGGTTCACTCATCATAAAACACACGGAAGCGTCATGGATCTGGCCCGCAGTGGTGCCGCCTGGCGGAAGTGGCCTGTGCGCCCCGTAGGGCCTGATGGTGGCCTCCTGGTGGGTGTCACTGCCGTCGTCGGTCCCGTCGAGGTGGTGAGCGGGTCGTCGTCGGTGTGATGTCAGGTGACGCCGTCGAAGCTGATGCCCCGTGGTTGTCCCGTGGTTGTCCTTTTGTTGTCACACGGTTCTCCTGTGGTTGTTCTCGTCCAGCGGTTGCCCCGTGGTTGTAATGGTTGTAGATATCGAGATCGCTGGATCGATGCATCGCGAATCCGGTCCGACGCCAATCGCACACCGAACGCTTCACCCATCCCCCCAACCCTCTTTATCACCCGAAGGGTGGTCCTATCGGTATGAATGCTCTCACCCGAAGGGTGGTCCTATCCCTAGGCGGGAACCATATCTTCTTTCCCCCAGTCACGCTCAAAATGTCCACGAGCCACATCCGCGCATGTATTCCCAACAATCCTGTTGTGTTGGTTCTCTTAGAATCAGTAGCGCCCCGCGTTTCCCTCACCTCCTGCTGCCCCCTCCCTTTCCTTGCCTCTGCCATCCGCATGGGCCATGTCGGCACACCTCTCCCCTCACACGTTTCGTGGCCTCATGGGGGGCTCCACCGAAGGCTCGAATGGGAAAATCCACATGGAGCTCACCGCCTGTTTCGGCACACATCTCACACCTCTAGTGGCCCGATAAGAAGCTCCACCGAGGCCCACATGGGAGAGGGCGCAGGGCGCCCCCCCCCGCTCATTTGGGTACACCCCTCATACTTTCGTGGCCCCCTAATTTCGCACAGCCCTCAGACGCTCCATGAAGGCCCCAGTGGTTACGGTCGCACGGTCGCCCTGCCCCACTTCGGCACACCTCTCACACGTCTCGTGGCCCCATAGGGGCCTCTACCGAGGCTCCAGTAACCGCGGTCGCATGGCGGCCACGTCCCTTTTCGGTACGCGCCTCGTGGCTCGAAAGGGAGCTTCACCGACGGTCCCAGCGGCTGCGGTTGCGTGGCGGCCCCGCACCATTCGGCACACCCCGCAACGCCCCAGGGGCTGTAGTCTTATGGCGGCCCCGCCCGATTTAGGCCCCCCTCACACATTTCGTGGCCCACTAGGGGCCTCCACCAAGGCCCCAGTGGCTGCGGTCGCATGGCGCCGCCCCGCCCCGCTTCGGCACACCCATCTCGCGATTAGTGGCCCAACGGAGAACTCCAGCGAAAGCGGCGCTCACAACTGCGGTGCTTACATCTGCATAAGGCTTGGTTCTCCGACAAGTTTTTATTGTGCATGCTGGGTTCCGCAGACTTTTGCTCGCTGCACGTGATCTGCCACTCGGATCGTCTTCGCTTGTTCGCAAGGGCGCTCTCGTCTCTGCGTTTGCCGCACCTCTTGTCCCCTGCAATTGCTGAAAATGGCCCGCTCCGGAGACCCTGAACCCAGAAAGCATGCCATCTCTTTGGGGCCTGTCGCCGCATAGTGGAGTCAATGCCTCGACCCCTCG